GCGAATCAACTGTCCTTCCAACTTGAAAGAGCTTGAGAGAGCAGGGCCTGCTGACGCATCGCTTTTGTTCTTGGGGGAATTGTTTCCATTGTGCTCACTTGAAAAAAAGGAGAGAAGTTGAAAGCTCTGCTCGTGGCCAGTTCTCTCCATACTCTCCTCAGCTGGGGGCATTCGTGTTTGCTGGAGCTGTTCTGGCTCGCCTGCATGGGGTTGCTCCTTACATTTCCTGGCTCTTCTCAAGGCCGAACGTTAATTGCTTCAAGCTCTCCCTCTTCATGCCTTTCATCATCCGAAGTTCGTTCTGTAATAGGGACATTATAACCAAGTTGTTCCATTATATTTTCAATTAGGGTAATTATTTGTCGTTTTCTTCAGGATCTTGTTGGCACAGAACAGCTTTGTTCTACCCTGGAGATGGCTGTGGCTTTACGGTGGCTCCATTTTTCCAATGTATAGCCTGAAAGTCTTTATTGTCGTAAGTGAACATCTGAGAAGGCTTTAGAGCATTTTAATACCAAAGACTTGATCTTGTACAAATGAAGGAAATGGGAAAATGTCCTTTCATCATCAGTGAAAGTGGATTTGGGTGCTTTGAAGTTCTTGTAAAAGCTCGGAGAGACATGGTGCCCAAAGCCCCATTCCTGCCCAACATCAGGTGGTTTCCAAACAGTTCCAGCTCTTCTCTTCAGACCTATTAAACATAAATAACCTCCAGAAGCCACCACTCCATCCTCTCCCCATCTGCGGAGGTATTTGGTCTCTCCAGGAGCAAATGTGTCTGATCTGCTCCCACTTGACATTTTTCTAACTTATTCTTAGAAATGATCAATTTAAACAAGTTCCATAACATGCCCAGATGATCTATTTTGGAATTACAATTATAGAACCTTGTGTCTAATGTTTAACCTAATCCTCCTGGGCAATTTAAGCCCATTACTGTTTTTCCTCTCTTCAACAGACGCAAATATTTGCACGGGAATGTGAGTCTGGGCTTCCTTCAGTGGTCATACATCCTAAATGCTGCTGCCTGTTCATCCACATTTCCTGCCTCGTGGTGATGCTGTTGCTGTCTGCATCCTCCAGATGAGTTTCCCAGAGTAGGCATCTATAGTTAGAAAGAGGATGAGCTTGCAGTGACGGCACTGCAGAAGAAAGCAGCAGTCTGGGGTGAGGTTGAGATTTGTGGGGAAGGAGGGGTTTTGAGTTCCAGACCTCAGTCTTGGATCACAGAGGCTTAAGGCAGAGTTAGTGACTCTTCTTCAAGGGTTTGATGAGTGGTTCCAACTCAGCGAGGTTAGTTAGGCTTTGTCTGAGTTCTGTGGCAAATGCATACTAGTTAGAATGGCCAGGGTTGGAAGGGACCTCAAGGATCATGAAGCTCCAACCCCCTGCCACATGCAGGGCCACAAACCTCCCCACTTCATACCAGCCCAGGCTGCCCAGGGCCCCATCCAACCTGGCGCTGAACACCTCCAGGCATGGATGGGGCATCCACAGCCTCTCTGGGCAGCTGTTCCAGCACCTCACCACTCTCTCTGTAAAGAACTTCCCCGTGACATCCAATCTCAATCTTCCCTCCCTCAACTTCAAACCATTTTCCCTTGTCCTGCTGTTATCTCCCCTTTCAAAGAGTTGATTCCCCTCCTGTTTGTAGGCTCTCTTTAGGTACTGAAGGCTGCAATGAGGTCACCCACAGTCTTCTTTTCTCCAGGCTGAACAAGCCCAGCTCCCTCAGTCTGTCTTTGTAGGGGAGGTGGTGCAGCCCTCTGATCATCTCTGTGGCTCTCCTGTGGTCCCTCTCCAACAGCTCCCTGTCTTTCTTGTACTGGGGGCTCCAGACCTGGACACAGCACTGCAGATGGGGACTCACGAGGGCAGAGTAGAGGGGGACAATCACCTCCCTGTCCCTGCTGGCCACCCCTCTTCTGATGGAGCCCAGGATACCATTTGCTTTCCGAGCTGCAAGAGCACACTGATGGCTCATGTTCAGTTTTCCATCCATCAGGACCTTCTCGGCAGGGCTGCTCTCAAGGACTGCTCCTTCCAGTCTGTAGGGATGCCTGGGATTCCTCCAGCCCAAGTGCCAAATCTTGCACTTTGCTGTGTTGAACTCGTGTTGAGCTCATGTGGGTTCTCTCCTTACAGCTGGTCAGACCCGTTGTCTTTGGGGAAGCCCAATGAACTTCTTCCACACCTCCCTGTTTCCTCTCCAGCAATTCTGAAAGCCGTTCCATCAGCTGCATGGAGGCAGTGTCCCACACGAGCTGGCTCTGTCCTGTCATGGCCCTTTAGCACCAACACTTCCTGAGCTCTGCTCCCTCTGCCAGCCCCTCAGGGACTGCTGCCTCCCAGCAGGCTTTGACTCCCTACAGTTTAGTGTCACCGACGTCTTTCAGAAGCACAGCCTGCCTTACATTTTCCAATTTGCTAATTAAACCACTGAAGGAAAGCAGGCCCAGAAGAAATTTGTGCGGAATCGCTGTTGAAAAGCCCCTTCTGGTCGAGCCCAGTCACTGACAAGCAGCAGCATCGTTTGGGGATGCATTCGGATGCTTTGTGACTCATGCACGTGTGTGGTTTACGGTCGCTTTCTGTACCACCATCCTTCCAAAGTGCTGGGATAGCCTGGGCCTGCCTGCAGCCATGCTGACATCAAGTGCCCATGGGCAGCTTCCCTGCTGCTAACCAGGGTTGTCCTGCCATGTCGTGGCATTCGGTGGTGCCCTTAAGCCCTGCTCCAGTGGTGATGGGATGCTGCTAGCAGTGCAGGTATCAGCCCTGCAAACTTCCTTTGACCTCTTTTCCGTGGAGTTGTTGCACCACTCTTGGTTCTTTTTTTTTTTTCCTGCTTTGCTCAGTAGTTAATTTGTTTATTATAAAAGTTAGAAGAAGATTAAACAAACTGTTAATGCTTTTATGTAGCTTAATGAGAAGAAAATGTTTCTGAGGGATGAAAACCACTACACAAGTTTAAAGGAGGGAGAGGGAGGCTGAAAAAAATTGAAGTCCACAACAGACTCAGGAATTTGTTCCACTTATTAATTGAAAACAAAAGCAAGTCCCTTCGGTTCCACTGTCCCCAGAATGTCCTCCTTGCATTGTTCCAGATCTCTTTTATTTTGCCCCTGGAGATTTCCCTCCTCTGTGCTTGCAGCTGAATTTATTTAGGTTACTTGGGAGTCACTGTCCTGCAGCCACGCGGCAGGCGGCTCTCATTGGGAGTGAGGTTGCAGGGTCAGCCTTGTAGCTTCTCATTCTCCAAAACTGCCTGGAGCACCTCTGGTTAATTGCTGAGCTTGAGAGATGCAGGAAGGACCTCCAGAGTTAGTTCCTAAAGATTTCCTGCTGTTAATTAATGTATATGCAGTAACTTGAAGCTCCTGGGGTGTTCTTGCAGTGCGTTTGGGACATCTGGTGTTGCCACCTTATTACAGGACCCCAATCTGGCTGAGGATGGAGCTCCTCTGGATCCATCCAGCCCCGCAGCACCTCAAGGCCCAACGCTGGGCTCTCCTCACTGGATCCTTCCTTGCCAAACCATCAGTCAGTCTTGTAAATAAAGCAGGAGTCTTAGTGCTGAGTGCTGGGAGCGGTGATTGCGGTGGGTAAAGGTGCACAGAAGTGCTTCCTGGGGTCAGAGGTGACCTCTTGTGCTCTGGTTTGTGTCCAGTGCCTTCCCAAGCCCAGTCCACCCCACTGTGCCCACTGAGCACATCCCCAGTGCCACGTCCTCGTGGTTTTGGAACACCTCCATGGATGGTGACCCTATACTCCCTGAGCACCCTGTGCCCAACTGCTCTTCCCACAATGACATTTTCCATAATATCCATGCCTATTTTCAGATGAACACTGCAGTAACGTAAGGCTGTGCTGGGACCTCTGCTCTCATGGAGACGTTTGTCTATGATGGATATTCTGGAAAGATTTTTCTAGTTGACCTTTTGGTAAAACCAAAATGGAGTTTTAACACGTGTGCAAAAATTGCAAAACCTCACGATACGATCCAAGAGCTTTTCCAAGTCTTCTTCAATGGTTTTATTTAGCCAGCATAGTTCAGAAATGCAAACCAGAGGGATGTGTCAGCCAGCACAGCCTTCCATCGCGGGGTCATTGCTGCCATGAGTGTGGTGGGACAGAGCCTCTCATAGAACACAGAATGGCCTGGGTTGAAAAGGACCACAATGATCATCCAGTTCCACCCCCCTGCTATGTGCAGGTCACCAACCAGCAGACCAGGCTGCCCAGAGCCACATCCAGCCTGGCCTTAAATGCCTGCAGGGATGGGGCATCCACAACCTCCTTGGGCAGCCTGTTCCAATGTGTCACCACCCTTTGAGTGAAACTGCGTATGTTCAATGTGTTCAAACTTGTGTGTGGGTCACCTCGTATCTTCTGAGCTGCTGGTTCCATCACTATGAGAAACGCATTGAGGCTCTGGAGTGTGTGCAGAGAAGAGCAATGGAGCTGTGAGGGGTCTGGAGCACAGCTCTTACGGAGAGCAGCTGAGGGAATGGGATGGCTCAGTCTGGAGGAGGCCCAGGTAGACCTTGTAGCCCCTAACAGATGTAGTTTGCCTTTTGCACATGAGTTGTCATCTCCACTTTACGTTTGTGGCCATGCATTGTGAGCACCCTGAGCTCCACTGCTGTGGGGCAGCACTAGATGGCACTCTGTCTCCAGCTTTCACCTTTCACCAGCAGAGCTCTGCTAATATGCAAGGAATAGCAGAGTACCGTGGTGGCACGTGTAGTTTTAGGAAGCTATGTCTCTTTTTGCCTTTATTCCAAAGCAGAATTGTGCTTTGGCTTAAGCTTTAAGCTTAGGGATAGGAAGGGGAATGAGATTTGGCAGCTGTAGAGCTGATACTTTTCCTTTGTAGCTTCCCTCTCCCCTTTAATAATTTTTTTTTTTTTTTTTTTACAGACTGGATTCTGGCTATTTCTTGTAATGGTGCTAACAGGTTTTGGAATCCTGACTCACGGTGGCATCTTCTTTTTTAGGTCTGTTTATGATGGAGAGGAACACGGTCGTTTCATGGAAAAATTGGAAGCACGAATCAGAAACCATGATCGGGAGATTGAGAAAATGTGCAACTTCCATTACCAGGGCTTTGTGGACTCTATCACAGAGCTGCTGAAAGTTAGGGGAGAAGCCCAAAAGCTGAAGGTAAGAGAAAGCTGCTGGATGTGGCCCAGGGCAGCTGGTTGCAGGTGGCCCTGTCTGAGCAGGAGACTTGGACAAGGCGACCTCCAGAGGTCCCTGCCAACCTTGAGTGCCCTGTGGTTGACCAACCAAACAGACATCTCCTTTTGTTCAAAGCCTCTCCCCTCTGCCTGGGAAAAACCAAACCAAACCCAACAACAATCTTAATTCTTTCTCCCTGTAATGATCGGTTAGTCATATGAAGCTCAACAATTATTTTGGCAAACTGGAATGCTGTGGTACATCAGAAGTGTGAGGAAGATTAAAGCTAGGCCTGTTCTGTGTTAGTAAACATGTGTTTTTCCTGGGATACCTTCGGCCAACTTCTTAAGCTCTGCAGTCAGCAGCATGTCTGCTGTAGCACCATCCACTTTAGTGCCTCATCTGACATCAGATTCTCATTGCAGAGGGTGTTGTGTTTGAGTCAGATCTGCAAAACTGGCACGGATTGCACAGAGAGGTGGTGCTCCATCCCTGGAGACATCAGGTCAGGCTGGAGGGGCTCTGAGCACTGATGGAGCTGTGAGTGTCTCTGTTCATTGCAGGGAGTGGGAGCAGAGGGCCTTTTGAGGTCCCTCCCATCTCAGAGCGTTCTGTGGTTCTGTGAAAACAATCTGGTGCAGAGCTGACCTTAATTGTGAGTTGTCTGCATGTTGTTGACAGGTGAGATATTAATATTCAAAAAATGAACTTCAGAACATTGTGAGGTGCTGAGAGCAAGCAGGAGCAGCAGTGAGAAATAAGGGTGCTTGGAAGTAAGTACAGAAAGATTGTTTGCACAAACCCATAGCTTGGATCTCTTTCTCCAGCATCTCCAGGTGTGGTTGGTTTAACTAGAAAGTAAAATGGATAGAGCAAGGAATGGGGAAGGTAAAATGTTTACGGCTAGGAATGGGTTTTGCAAGTATTGTGGCCTCTAAAGTTGTACAAAAAGATAAGAGAAAGGGAGATTTTTACCTGTTTATTGGAAGAAATGTGTTCAGCAGTGTGTGGAAAAAGGTGTATGTAAGATTGGAGTGTATGTAAGTGGTAGGAAGGAAACTAGGCAGGTTTCTGGGGACAGAAAGGAGCTACAGCTTGGTGGTGTTCCTATATGCAGTGTCCAAGTATGCTTGTGGTTTGCCTTAGAATGGGAGTATTACACAGTCTGGGGCATATAAGACATAGATAACATTGAAATAACTTGGTGAATGTCAGAGATTGGAGAGCTTTCCTCCTTTTCCTCCAGAAGGTGGAACACAGTTGGGTGGAGTCTGTTGAGGAGATCCTTTCTGGAGGGTGCATGGGACTGCTTGCTGGGAGCTAGAGAAGATAAAGCCATGAATAAGGGAATAAAAGTCTCAGAAAAGCACATTTTCTGGAAAAGAAAAAAAAAAAACAACCCAAAAACATTTTAACTTCAGTGGGTTTTTTTTCCACACATTTATTTATTCATTTAAAGCATGGGCATTTCCATGCAGGTTTCTAGATATACAAGCAGCCCTGATGCCACAAATGAACGTGTGCTTTCAGGATCACCTTTGTGGGGATGTTTCCTTGCATCAGAGGCACTCTTATTAGGACAAGGCCATTGGAAATACGACGAAAGAAGACTTTTTTTTTGTTTTAATTATTATTATTTTTTTTAAAGCCATTGTTTATACCCAAGAATTCCACATTGTTTGTTTGCAAGGGCTTGTTGCTGTTTCCCATTCTGCAAACAGCTGCTTTGTTGGTGGCATGCTGTGAAGTCCATCTCTACCCTCAGGATCTCTCTTGATTTCCATCACTATGTGATCTATTAAACGGCACATTGGAAAAATATACACAGAAGCCTATTGGAGAAATACTGAGCCCTCTTTGTACGGGTTTCCCCAGGGAATCATCTGTGAGTCCAGTGCTAAGAGTGAGTTTTGTTTCAGCTATTCAGTCTGCATTTGATCTCAGCCCTTTTCTCAGTAGTGCAGGTCTTTGAATGGACATCCAACGAGCTATAAAGTAAATGCCCTCCATATTGCACCTCTACTATGCATCTTAAATAGGAACCAGTACTGCCCTGTTCCTGCTTCCAGTTCACGCTCCCACTGGCTGTTGGATGCCTTATACCAGCCCAGCTCCTGCGTCTCAGAGAGATGCCACTGGAAATTAAAAGATAGATTATAAACTAGAATGGTTCAGTTTGTAGATGTGACTGGAGAACAGATCTCAGAGGGAAAGGGCTGCTGACAATCTCAGCAATCCTTCTCATCTTAACCATGTTACGCTTTAGCTGTGTCACTCCTGATAGATTTCTGCCTACCCCTACCCCTACCCCTACCCCTAACCCTCCCTCCAGGTATTTCTGCCCTTCCATCTCTGGGAAACTTAAGTTAGATGGTTAAAACCCCCTTTTATTTTTTGTTAGATCTTTTGCTTTTTGACCTGTCAAGACCAGTACATGGGTTATTCCTTTTTGTTTCTACACTAGCCTTCTTCTTCTGCCATTTGGAGGCTGTAGGAGAATTTGCTGGTCTTGGTGTAAGATCAGCAGCCCCAAGCTATCCTAGAGGGTTGTGCTTTTGATGTCTCTCAGTGCCTTTAGTGTCCTACTGTGAAGTTGACGAGGTTCTCTTTTAGTGTTTTGCTCTAACTGTGGTTTTTTAAGCTGGACCAGTCACAGCGGTTCACCACAGTGAAGTGGTGCATAGGGGTTATTTCAGGTGCTTTGTAGGGCTCTGAGGGAGGGAAGATTTAGGTTGGATGTCAGGGGGAAGTTCTTCTTTCCTATGAGAGTGGTGAGGTGCTGGAACAGCTGCTCAGAGAGGCTGTGGATGCCCCATCCATCTCTGGAGGTGTTCAAGGTTCAAGGTTGGATGGGGCCCTGGGCAGCCTGGTGTGGTATGAAATGTGGAGGTTGGTGGCCCTGCATGTGGTAGGGAGGTTGGAGCTTCATGATCCTTGAGGTCCCTTCCAACCTGGGCCATTCTGTGATTCTGTGATTCTCTGTTCATGCATACCAACCTGTAGATGCAACATCAGGTAACAGCGTAGCACAGGCTGTGTTCATTTGTGCTCACTGTGCTCACCGAGTCCTTCTTTGGAGCTGCTGTCCTGGTGTGTGCTGCTAAAAGTGCACTGGTCTCACAGTGGATTCCTATAGGGACTGAATAAATGAAGAGATGGTGATAGAAAATTAACCCTGTCCTTAGATGCATCTCCAGATTGGGAAGTTCATTGCCAGCAGGAAGGCCCACTTGACAGCCACCCCTCCCCTCATTGGAAAGGGATGTGAACAATCCACATAGGTGGGTGCTGACACAAGATGGAGCCAGCAGAGCTCTTCAGGGTCACACGGGTGCCCTTGGCATCCATTCCCAGGATTCCTCTCCAGTGGCCTTTGCTCTTCTCTCTCATCACTCTGACACTCTCTAAATGATAGCAGAGTGATGCTTAAAGCCCGCAAACAAAAACTCTGCTCAGTACCACATGTTCCCCATAGAGATGAATGAACTAACAACTTGAGCATCCTGTGAGCCCCTCGTGTGATCCACTCGTCTCGTTCTTCACATGTGCCCACCTGTTGTCTGTCGTCCCCCCCCCCCACCTTGCTGTGCATCTGTCTTAAATTATCAAATCCCTCCGTCTGAACAACTTTGGTGTGTCTACTGAGAGTCTCTATAAATAATCACCCATCTTTTTTCATTGTGTATGGATGTAGATCCTGAGAATGAAACAAAACACAGCCCCCTGCCTCCAAAAGCCCAGTGTGCCAGGGGGGGGAATGTATCTTTGCTTTAGCCAGGATCGATATGTAATTTTAATAGAAGACTCGTACAGCCTTGGCATTATTTTAGGAGCAGTTTTAAATTACCCGACATGGATTCCTTTTTCCTGGTGGGATTTGCAGGATATAAGAAAATAAAATAATCTTTTGGAAGAGATGCCATGTTCCTGCTTGTAAAATCTCAATACATCATAAAGGAAATGAGCAGTTTTTGCACAGGGCAAGCAGCCAGGAGAGCTGAAGCTACTGCAGGAGGGGGAGCGATCTGATGCAGATGCTGTGCGGGAGTGGTGTGCATGGATGTCATGAAGTGACTGCTCTTCTTGCATCGTGGCAAGCTACTAATGGCCAGCAGTAGGCACACAGGGAGGGGTGAAGGCATGCATCATCCACGTTCTGCTGGGTAATTGGAGAATGCTTGCGCTGGACACCTTCACCAGTGATGAAACCATCCTGAATTCATGGCTGCTCTGTTTTGGTGGCAGCTGAAGAGCTCTGCAGCTCTGATGCTGCAGCTGTGAAGAACTTCCACATGGAGAAGTCAAGACTATTTAGAAGCAGTGATCTATGAGGGCAGCTGGGGGAGTGGGCTTGTTCAGCCTGGAGAAGAGAAGACTGCAGGGTGATCTCATTTCAGCCTTCCAGGACCTGAAGTGAGCCTACAAACAGGAAGGGAGTCAACTCTTTGAAAGGGTAGATAACAGCAGGACAAGGGGAAATGGTTTGAAGTTGAGGGAGGGAAGATTGAGGTTGGATGCCAGGGGGAAGTTGTTTACAGAGAGAGTGGTGAGGTGCTGGAACAGATGCCCAGAGAGGTATTCAAGGCCAGGTTGGATGGGGCCCTGGGCAGCCTGGTGTGGTATGAAATGTGAAGGTTTGTGACCCTGCCTGTGGTGGGTGGTTGAAGCTTCATGATCCTTGAGGTCCCTTCCAACCTGGGCCATTCTGTGATTTATCTGCTCCCTGGGGATGGTATTTCTACACTGTGTCCATGGGCCCCAAAACACCCCTAGGTCTGAGCTTCCACCCCCATTTCTTCCAAAAGTGAAATCATGTCTTTTAACAAAAGCAAGGAGAATATGTAGTCTTGAATGCAGGGAGGAGAGCCTTTGGCAAGGGTCAGACCAGTGGCTGGGTGTAGGGTGACTATTTACACAAGAGCAGTTGGGATGAGCAGATAGTGCTTTCCTCTTGAAGATCCTTGAGGTCCCTTCCAACCCAAGGCATTTTATGATTCTGTGTACTCTTACTGGAAGCCAAGCTTTTCATTTGACTTGTGGGATGTTATGCTCTTGAATAGACATATATATAAAAAGCAAGTGCCCTATTGCAATTCACATTTTTGTCCAGGCTCTGTTTCTGGTTTTTGTGTATAGAATGGACAGAACTCCTCCTAACACACATGAGCTGTTTCATAAAATTGCATGATGCCAGTGGAAGCCCAACTGCAGGTACGGTAGACCTGAGCACAAGAAGAAAGCACTGAGAGATCCTACAAGGACAAGCCTGGAAATGGCAGGTTGCAATGTTAACAGCTATAAAAAAAGGATTCTGTGGGAGAAAAAAAAAGTAGTTTTGTGGCACGTTAATTTTGCAGTGAGGCACCTGAGCCTGTTTCATGCCATGCAAGAGAATGGTGTGTGAAAGGCAGCATGCTGATGTGTGTGAGCAGTTTCTTCTCATGAAAAGCTTTGTCTTGATTTACGTGTACTTGTGTTCTTTCTCTCTTCCTTACTGTCCCCACAGAACCAAGTGACGGACACCAACCGAAAGCTGCAGAGTGAAGGAAAAGAGGTGTGTGGTGCACTCACTCCGTGTTTTTTTAGCTTTTCCAGAACGTGGCAGTGCTTGGTGGTGGCAAATGTCTGAGCAGTGGTAATTGCTAAGCATGGCGTGGGTGCCCCAGCACAAGAAAGATGTGGAACTCTTGGAGAGGGTCCAGAGGAGGGCCACTAAGATGATCAGAGGGCTGGAGCACCTCTCCTATGAGGAAAGGTTGAGGGAGCTGGAATTGTTTAGCTTGGAGAAGTATTGGCCTTCCAATACTTGAAGGGAGCATATAAACAGGAGGGGAAATGGCTGTTTACAAGGGTGGATAGTGATAGAACAAGGGGAATGGCTTTAAACTGAGACAGGGAGGTTTAGGTTGGATATTAGGAGGAAGTTTTTCACCCAGAGGGTGGTGATGCACTGGAACAGGTTGCCCAAGAAGGTTGTGGATGCCCCATCCCTGCAGGCATTCAAGGCCAGGCTGGATGTGGCTCTGGGCAGCCTGGTCTGGTTGGTGACCCTGCACATAGCAGGGGGGTGGAACCGGATGAGCATTGTGGTCCTTTTCAATCCAGGCCATTCAATGATTCTATATTCTCTCCTACTACATTGCTGTGTGTCAGACCAGTGACTCCAGTGAAGCTGACAGATAAAACTGCCCTGTGGGGAGGAGGTGATGCACTTTACCAGAACCAAATAAACATACCCATTACCTTGAGTGGAGGATTCTCCTTTATGCTCCAGAAGTAGACTGGCCAAGGCTTTCACAAACTCATCCTGGCCCAGGGGTTGGGACTAGATGACCTCAAAGGGCACCTCTACCTTCAGCCATTCTGAAGTTCCATACATAGTGACTGGAGCACAGAGCTGTGGCCTTCCCCTTGGAAAGAACCAAACCAAAGAGTTCTTTGTGGTGTACAATGGCCAATCCTTGTTTTTGCCCTTATCCACATGGACGGGTTTTTCTGCTGGAGCGTTCAGAAACCGTGGTTGGGTTGGGATGTTGAGAATCCCCGAGGGCCACTTCCTGCCTTTTAGAAGAACTAGAAAGAGAAACTTGAAAAAGGATGAGATGAATAAAATGGGAAAGGGAAATCATTTGGGGAATTCACAGGACGTGCTGCGAGGCTGCTATTTGGATGGCTTTGGTTTTGCTGCTTGCTAGCTTAGAAATGAGCCAAGGGAATGCTGCTGCTGTGTGATGAAGGACGCAGGGCTCAGGAGCTCCTCAGGGCAGGCTCAGTTGTCCTGCTGCTGTTTGGATGTTCATTTATATCCTCTCTCTGTCTGCTTGCTGTTTTCAGTGAGACTTTTTTCTTCTTCCTTTTCCAAAGCTGATAATAGCAATGGAAGAGCTGAAGCAATGCCGATTGCAGCAGAGGAACATTTCAGCAACTGTTGATAAGCTAACGCTGTGTCTTCCCGGTGAGGAGCCCAAAATTGGTCTTTATTTGTTCAGCTGTTGATTTGAATGCACGTCTCTTTGCTCTGTGTTTCTGTCTCAATACTTCTGTGTTTTTTTTTTTTGTTTTTTTTTTTTTTGTGTTTCTCTTTCCAGTTCTGGAGATGTACAGCAAACTGCGAGAGCAAATGAAATCGAAAAGGTAAATTTTGCATAGCAAAAGTTTTAGTGGAGGGGCTGAAAAGTGTCCATTTGGTGCTGCTTGAATTCAACAAAAAGCTTCTCAATACTCAGCAATTCCACGTCAGCGATGCCATGTTAACAGATCTGATTTCTGCTGGTGTCTTTGTGGCTCAGCCTCCCGTGGTGCAGACCAGAACTCGTTTCGTTCGTTAGGCTTTCTGATGAAGATGGATCTTTGCTGTTCCTTTTCTTTTTGCCTGTGGAAGCTTGCCTTTGGGATGGGCATCCCAAATCAGTGCATGGCTCTGTACTTCTACATTCTTAACAAAGTGGTGTGCTGGGGGTACCAGAATACAGAACTGATCTAATCTGAAAGAACCCAGTGAATGTGAACAGGAAGCAGAGAGCTGAGAAATGCTGAGCGGGGCAGTAGGAGAAGGTGGTGAGAAGGCACCCGGCTTACTTTGTGCTAGAAGTCATCGCTCAGAAGAGTGAGCTGAACTGAAAGGACTCTGTGGCTCAGAACTCATGAACTATAAATCCAATTTTTTTTTCACCCCACATCTGTTGTGATGCTGAGGAATTACAGCCCAGGCATGGCCGGGCTCCTGGGGGCTAGTTTGTTTGGGCAGCACGGGATTTTGGAGGCCCTGAGGGGTGGCAGACTGGGCATAGAGCAGCTGCTGGGGCGAGGGTAGTGGAAAACGTGCTGGGCTCCAGCTGAATGGCACGTGGGGAGGGCGGCTGGGTCCACTGCCTGCTCTGTGCCTGCCATCCATCATGCACACAATGCAGGAGGAGCCAGATGTTTCCAACAAGGCGATAACTAATTGGATGGGCGGAATGCTACACTTCCCCTCCTGCCTGCACTCATCTCTGTGGTCCTCGGTCCCCAGGAGCCTTGTGGGAATGGATAAGCATCAGTCCTGGAATTGGGGCTGGCTGGAGAGGTGCTGGGGAGCCTGTCAGCTGTGCACAAAGCTTGCTCTCATTCCCTGGATGGCTCAGTGCAGGGCAGGCTGCACTTTGTCCAACTGTTTTCATTCAGTTCATGGGAACAGCGAGGGGTTTATCCGCTGACAGATGTGGGGTGGGGAGCTGGAGCAGATCACAGCACTGTGAACTTTTGAAGGGAATCCACATGCTGCTTGGTTCCCTTGTTCTGGGTAGTGTTTCCAGGGTCTGGTTCTAAGAATTGTATCTTTTTTTTTTTTTCTTCCCCTTATTGGACTGGTTCATTTTGAAACAAATAGAAGCTGAAAGCCACATTTAAGGAATATCTGAACCCTTGGCTTTTTTGCTTTTTTCTCCCTCCTTCTTTGGATTTGATGGCTTCATTCACCAAACACAGCACAACATATTAAATATTTTTGTGTCTGCACCCGGTCTCACTTATATATCATTTCATCATAGCCAGTGAGGGGTTTGGTTACTGTGTGAGCCTCAGGTTTGGGCTGCGGAGCAGTTGGGTTGGCATTCAGGCTGAACGAGCTCAGCTCTTCCAAAGTAGACAAGATGTGCTTTGATGGTTATAATGTGAGTGATTTCCAACTAGAAGAGGGGGGATTTAGATTGGATATAAGGAAAAGGTTCATTATGATAAGGGTGGGCACAGGTTACCCAGAGTGGTGGTGGGTGCCCCTGGAGGCATTCAGGTCAGGCTGGTTGGAGGCTCTGAGCACTGATGGAGCTGTGGGTGTTGCCATTCATGGCAGGCAGTGGGACTGATGGCCTGTAGAGATCTGGGTGTGCTCTGCACATCTCAGTGCTGAACTTTGCTTTGCCTCCACGTGCTCTGGGCTCTGGTTTTGGCAGGCAGTTGGGGACCCCATCAGTGCACACCCGATGTTCCCACAAGCCGTGTTTGAGCTGCTTCTGGTTCAACAAACAATGCTTAAAATACAACAAATCCCCAGTGCCTGTTTATTCCTCTGGTTTAATTTCTGGCTTTCTGTGTGCTCTGAAGTTTCCCTCCAGAGAGGATTGCATTTTATTGCAAATAGCATTTCGTATCTCACCCTATGTAAACACTGACTGGGCTGCTGGGTTAATCCCTTTGACTTCTGATTTTCGGGCAGTTTTGGGTTAAAATAACTTCCCTTTGGAACTGCCTGAGGTTTAGGCAAGGGTGAGTATGAATGGGGATTTGAGTGTCAGGTTATTGCTGTGGCACTTAACGCGTTTCTTAGGGCTTTCAGGGTGTAAATGGAAGTGCTTGTGGCTGGGATTAACCATGGGCAGAGTCAGCTGTAGTTGCCTTCATTCACCTGAAAGGGAACCATCACCTGCTCTGGACTTAAATGTATTTTGCAGGCACTGCTAATGCTTCTGCGTGCCATTCAGGATGGCAATTTCAACATACAGTTTTAAGGTATATATCTCTGATGGTGGAGGAATAAGTCAGCAAAGCAGAAATTACAGACAGCAGCAGTCCAACAGGAGCTGGAGAAGGAGGGACCTTGTAGGAGAAGTGCCCTTTGGGCCCTTTATATGGGGTCACGTGAGGTTGTCTTCATCTCTACCTAAATCAAAGCGTATCCTGGATGGAAAGCAGTTTTTAACAGTGCTCAGCAGCATTTGGACAGCTGGAAGGAAGGTGGGGTCTGACTGCTTCTATGCACAGGAAAGAAACCTGAGAGCTCTCACATCCAAGACACTTAGAACAGAATAACAAGTCTCCATGTTAGGAGCACATATTGCATACCAGTTTGTCAGCCCAAATGGTGTATTCCCATCTCCACCCTTCTGTCTTATGGCACCTCACTGATAGGGGTCACAGAATGCAGCAGTGTGTGCCCCATATCTCACACAGCAACACCATAGTCTGGGGGTGCTCTGGAGCCCCCTCCTTTTGGGGAGGTTGTGGGGACAGCAGGGCCCTGGTGCAGGTGGGTGAGAGCTGCTGATGAGCTCAGCTGGTGCAGTACCTCATTACTCAGCTGGTCATCTGTGCATCACAGCTCTGAGCTGTGACTTTTACAGTGTGCCTCTGCTTCTCTGTTTCAAAAGGAAAAGAGTGTTTTCGTGGTTATTTGAATGCAAGGATGTGCATTCCTTTCAACAGAGCTGAAATTGTTAGATCTACTGAAAATTTACACAGCTTTAAGAAGAAGTAGGGTAGAAATAGCTGTTCTTTTCCTGCATCTGCTTTGCTTGCTGTCCTCAGGCACTACCCAGCACTGAAAACCCTGGAGCACCTGGAGCACACCTACCTGCCCCAGGTGAGCCACTACCGCTTCTGCAAGGTGATGGTGGACAACATCCCAAAGCTGCGGGAGGAGATAAAGGAGGTGTCCATGTCAGACCTCAAGGATTTCCTGGAGAGCATCCGTAAGCACTCGGACAAGATTGGGGAGATGGCGATGAAGCAGGTAAGGGCTTGTTCTGTTTAGGGTAGGAGGATGGTGCTTTGTAGCCACGTTGAGTTGAGTTCTGCCTTTTTGGCACTAAGGCATTAAAGGCTTCACAATAATTTTGTTTTAAAAGGTGAAACAATGACTGTCCTGTGGTTGTTACTGGAGCTTACCTTGTGATTTTTGTACTGTTGAAAACTGGCGGTTTGTTTTCATCATCTTCTCCCATCTGCACTTCGCTGCAGGCTCCTGCTACCCCAGAGGTGCAGGCATGGTGTGTGCCTCATGGTTTGCACTTGGGGATATTTGCATTGCTGTGCCTGGTGGGAACTGGAACACTCTGAGACACCTGTGCTGATTTGACATGTGCAGAGTAATAGAAATGCATCTTCTGTTGCACCTTGATTTTCGTTTTTTGTGTCTTAAGCTGATTTTCAGATATTGACAAACTCTGTGAGTTGTGCTTGCCTAGCAGTAGATAGCTGTAAAAACTGAACCTGATTAACTGAACGTGCACGTGCTTGTATTTAAGTGGAATTGCCTATCCACTGATTCCTTTAATACTCAGGTTTTCCATTTTGATTTTGATTTTCTTATCAAAGCCAGAGAGCTCTGCTCATCATTTCCATTAGAACAAACTTTGTTTCTTTGCTGAAATTCAGATTGACTGGTAGTGAAACAAAGTGGTACCTTTTGATCTTGATAGTGGTAGGACAAGGCTTCAAACTGAGACAGGGGAGGTTTAGGTTAGATATTAGGAGGAAGTTTTTCACTCAAAGGGTGGTGAAGCACTGGAACAGGTTGCCCAAGGAGGTTGTGGATGCCCCATCCCTGCAGGCATTCAAGGCCAGGCTGGATGTGGCTCTGGGCAGCCTGGTCTGCTGGTTGGTGACCCTGCACATAGCAGGGGGTTGGAACTGGATGATCATTGTGGTCCTTTTCAACCCAGGCCATTCTGTGATTCCTGCTTCCTCTGGCAGTAGCTGCCTGGTTGGATTTGGTGGCTTATGGGAAGCACTCTTGCCAAAACTTCCCCAAGAAAAAAAAACGGTGGTGTTACATTCATGGCTGGAAGTACAGGCGGTTCAGTTCACTTATATACACTGTTCTTTCTGTAAAATTTACTAGCTGTTGCATTGTTGTCTTCTCGATCTCTTTCTGTGTTGGGAAAACCAACTCAATGCCACATAGAAGAGCTGTGAAGAACAGACTCTCAGAAGGGCTTGGGTTGGAAGGCGTGCATCATTCTACTCCTTCCAGTTCAACCCTTGTGTTAGCTGTTGCATTAAATGAAACTGACTTCTCTAAACCTGCAGAACCCCCCCCTTTGAGCTGGATGTCCTGCTGCAGAGCCAGACACGCATGGTGGGAGCCCCTGAGGTCATTGTGCTGAATTTACCTGGTACAATGGTTTCTGGAAAAAAGATATTTGCAAAACAAGAAACCAAAAAACAACCACCCAAACAACTTGTTCATCGTGACATCCAAACTTTGAAACAAATTATCCTTTGGTTTCTGTGGCTCTGGGTGGGAAGGAGTAAGTTTAATTTGCTTTTTGGTCCCCAATTAGTGCAGCAAATGTGCTGCTCTAAATAAATAAATAGTTATTTATATCCCATTAAGGATATTCACCAACTATAGAGGCATAAGGGGATACAGATGTGTCCTCTTCCCATGGTTCCCAGCCTTGCTCTTGTGGTGCTGGATGAGACTGGTGCTCAAACCTCATGGCACTGTGACTGTGTTTGGGAGCTTCCAGATCCTTTGGCTCAGGCAGACCCATTTTCAGAATTTCCCAGTTATTTCAAGGAGAAACAGGAGGCTGGAAATAAAAAGCCCCCAGGGTGTGCTTTCTTTCCTCCCATGGCAGCTCCTTGGCTTCATTTTCCCTGATTTTTGGCTGTTAGGCCATTTCTCTACACTTAGCCTTTTGTCTCTTGTTGCTTACCTCCACTGCTAATGTTTTCAGCTTTCCTGAAGTTCAGTATTTGTTTTTTGGCTCTAGATAGCTCTTGACCAGGGCTGTGGTCCTGCACCTGGGGAGGGCTGACTGCACACATCAACACAGGTTGGGGGCTGAGCTGCTGGAAAGGAGCTCTGTGGAGAAGGACCTGAGGGTCCTGGTGGACCAACAGTTGACCACAGGGTGACCACGAGCCAGCATTGTGCCCTGGTGCCTGAGAAGGCTAATGGGATTCTGGGGTGCATTGCACAGAGTGTATGGCCAGGAGGGTGAGGGAGATTTTCCTCCCCTCTGCTTTGCCCTGGGGAGTGCTGTGCTCTGCACATCTGGAGCACTGTGCTCAGTGCTGGGCTTCCCAGTTCCAGGCAGACTGGGAACTGCTGGGAGAGCCCAACAGAGGGCTGCAGAGCTGGTGGGGTCTGGAGCATCTCCTGAGAAGAGAAGATATTACCAATGCTTATAAGTGGTGGAGGTGAAGTGGATAGGGTCAGACTCTTTTTGGTGATGCCCATCAACAGGATAAGGGGCATTGGGAACCAACTGGAACATACACAAAATCCATCTGAACATGAGAGAAAGCTTCTTGACTTGGAGAACACAGCTGCCCAGAGGGGTGATGGAATCTTCTTCTCTGGAGATACCCAAGCCTACCTGGACTGTATCCTGTGCTGTAAGTAACTTGGGTGAGTGCTGGACTGAGGGGTCTCCAGAGGTCACTTCCAACCCCTACAGTTCTGTGCTTCAGTTGCAAATGCAGAGCTGGAAATGATGCTGGTATTCCAGCTAAATGCTGGGCTTATTCCTGCAAAGAGCATCACGCTCTGCCTGGAGGATGAGGAGCTTTGAGGAGCAAACAGCTTTGAAAGTCTCCCATCGCGTGGGGTCACATCACGGCATTTTGCTGAAAGCAAAGGGCAAGGCTTCCCCAGCCAACATTACTGCCATTGCTCCTGCACTGCTGGCCATGATTGATGGTGGAGCACAGCTGGCAGGAAGCCTGGAGTGCCGGGGAACAGCAATTGGCAGCTGAATGCATTCGGTTCAAATTAGCATCATTGAAATTCTTTTCAAATTGTTTGATTTCACCAGCGGGAATGGAATCGGGGTTGATACAATGGGGGAAAGGAAATGGTGTTTTTGTAGCGTTATGAATCTGAAGCCGACGATGACAAGAGCTGAAAATTTCATTTGGTGATCGTCAGAATGATGTGTCGTGGAGCACTCGGAGTCGGAAGTGGGGACAGGGATTGCTGGCCAGCCCTGATCTTGGATGGGAAAACCAATGGGGTGTAGTCAAGTGGGACGTGCCGGGGTCAGCTATGTGCAGGAGCAACGCGTGAGAAACCTTATATCCTCTGTGGGCAGCTCTTGGGTTCTCAGTGACTCCTTTCCTCATTGTTTTCCAATCTGAGTTTAATTACCTGTGGTTCCGGGGGGATCTGCTGCATTCCAAATATTGGGCTTAGTTCCACAGTGCTCGGGCGGTTCTGTACATTTGAACTTGTTTTGGACTTTGTCCCTGTGAACCTGTGTCTGTGTTTTGCTTTCGTTGGTTTTTGAGATCTAAACCTTGGCCTGGCTGGGAACGAATTCCATATTATGAACACTTGCTGATATTTAGTACATGGTTTTATCATCTGGCTTAATGCCTGATGATGTGGTACCAAGGGACGTGGTTTAGTGGGGATATATTGGTGGTAGGCGGATAGTTGGGCAAGATGGTCTTGGAGGTCTTTTCCAAGCTTGGTGATTCAATGAAATATGCAAGGCACTTCTGATGGTGTTTCATGCAAAGTACTGATGGCAAGTAGTGAGTGCTGCTATGGAGGCCTAGAGCAACCAATCCAAAAGCCATTATTGGATGGAGCTCGTCAGGACAGCCAGAATGTCCCACATGCCTTTGGGATGGATGGAGGCAAGCCAACTTTTTATAGCCTCAGTAGGATGCACCGTCAAAGCTGATGTTTAATAGGTGGTGATGTAGGGTAAGCTTCAACAGGTTGGCAGGATTAAATGCTTTCCAAAGCTCCACACACAGCCCTGGGGTCTGAGCTGAGAACTGCAGGCACTGAGGGACGCAGTGGGCATGGTGGGGTTGGCTTGGGGTTGGTTTGGGGATCTTGGAGCTCTTTTCCAAGCTCTTTTCCAACTCTGTGCTAGTTGTTCCATGTCAGTGGTGACTGTGGGGCCCTGGTAAGACATTGAGCAACTGCTGTGTCCCTCATTGTTTTGGGTATGTCTGGATCCATGTTTAATTCTGACCTTGAGTTGCCTAGGTAGGTGATGATTGCTTTGGGGATGCAAGTTTCTTCGTACAGTTTGGTCTGTGGATGTGAAGGACTGCAGAAGGACTCAGTGTGGCTTAAGGTGGCCCTGCATGTGGCAGGGGGTTGGAGCTTGATGATCCTTAAGGTCCCTTCCAGTCCAAGCCATTCTATGATTGTACTGGAAGCACATCCAGCAGGAGCATGTGAGGATGGAGAGGAAGTGGTGGCTGAGATGGAAAGCATGGGATCGGAGGGACAGCATCCCCTGAGGCAGCTCTGCACACGGGGCTCTCCTGCTGCAAGTTGCTTTAGCACAAGCCAGAATTCTTTGGGCATTTGATCACTTTCTGTGGGACGATGGTGATAAGTGGAGACGTGGCATGTGACAGCTGCAGCCTCATTGGGAAATCCTGTCCCTGTTCTTCACTTTAAATGCAAACACATGAGCACCACCCCAAGCCACATGAGCTGAGTGGGTCCCTCTGTTGCAGAGGACAGAAGGGCATTTTGTTGCCTTCCCCCCCCAAAAAAAAAACCAAGCAGTTTGTGTTGTGTTCTTAATTATCCCCATCTCTGAAATTTGGTAACTTTGTGTCATCTTCTGCAGTGTGTGTGGAAATTATTTTTGCTTTGTGAGCATGTTTTAAAGTCAGCTAAATCTCACTGTGTTCCTGCGGATGCGCTGTGCAGGAAGTGACCTTTGAGTGTTTGTCAGTGCTCTCCAAAGGTCCCGTGTGTGCCTGGTTCCAAACCCAGCACCTGTTTCCACATAGGCCTGATCCCCCCCA